CGAGCCGGAAAAAAGCGGCAGCCATGTTCATGCAAATGCCGTGGGGGATATTTAAATCCCCCGCGGCATTTGCAATTCCAAAGTGTCTCATTAGCATCCCTTTTCCGGAAAAGGTGCCAATGTAGACACAGCCTGTTAGAGGACATTCTAGGCATAGGAGGCAGCATGGAAGAAAGTGAAAAAGTTAGTATGGAGAAATGTGAGCCGGAAAAAAGCGGCAGCCATGTTCATGCAAATGCCGTGGGGGATATTTAAATCCCCCGCGGCATTTGCAATTCCAAAGTGTCTCATTAGCATCCCTTTTCCGGAAAAGGTGCCAATGTAGACACAGCCTGTTAGAGGACATTCTAGGCATAGGAGGCAGCATGGAAGAAAGTGAAAAAGTTAGTATGGAGAAATGTGGAACAGGCAATGTGCAGGGTCCACACCACGATAACTGGCTGGTCACTATGCAGGCGGGGGCAGCACTGTGTAGAAGCTTTAATTTGGAAGTTCAGCTTAAATCAATAACATGATAGAGCCACTAGGAATAAGCGGCAAAACGCAGATATTCATTAGCAGCCACAAAACTGGCCAGAAATCTGCTGTACAAAACCTGCATTCAATAGATAACTATGTCTATAAACAGGAAGCATACTTAAAAACTTGAGAATAGAGCTAGAGAAGGAACTGGTGAAGGGACCTTAAGTATTTCAATGTCTTAGCTTTTCTATTATGCACTTCTGGGTGAATCCTGCTCCTATTCCATAGGTCCGAAGAGCTCAACAGCAGCAAAGTCTTATTGCAGAGATCCACAGCTGTGAGTTAGTATCTGAGCAGGCTTTGTCTCCTGCTCTCATTTCTGCCATAGACTAATAGTTCCATTGCTCACCGCCAGTGCTCTCTTCCCCTGGAAACACCCAATGCCTGACTGAGATACTCAGGGCAAGAGCTGTAGTATGGATATTCCCCTTAAAGAATTTACTGTTAAAAAATGCTAACAAGTGCTCATTTATCTGTTGCCACTCACTGCCCATGTAAAAGGTGGCTATACACATTTCCCATATAGAAGGACAGATCACCAATATGTTCTTGTTCTTGTAATAGGCTAAGTCTGATTGAGCCAGGTCCAGTGATCACAGAATTTGAAAAAAAGGTGTTTGAAGATGGAATGAAAATGGATCTTTCAGCTGCCGATGAAGAAACTGCGGATATGTTTACTAATATTTACCTTAAAAATTACAAACAGATTTTCCAAAGCCTGGGACAGAGTGCAGAGGACATAGCAGAGGTAATTAGTCCAATTGTGCAGTGAATGCTCTGACTGTCGTACCCCTAGACTTCAGTAATCACAACCTCAATAAAATATTGTATCTAGAATTTAAAAAGAATATGAAATTCTCCCAGTTTTAAAAGGCAGCTTTGAATTTTAATCTATAATATCACTGAGTGAATAGCTGCAATGTGATATAACCACCCAGTGAAGTCAGAATGACACTAGTATGAACTGTCACCAGAAATCTTGATGGGTTACTACCATTGTTTGTGGCCCCTCTCTTGTTCAGATTTCATTAGTGCAAATCTCTACACCCATGGGAAGTACAGTAGACTATCCAAGGAACCAATAACAGAAGAGTAGAGTCCTGTAAATCTGCAGATACCTGCTAAAACATCTGGAATTATATAGCCAATGGTTCTTAGCAGTGCAGTACGCTGGGTCTACGTCTTGACTGCAGGCTTCTTTCAGAGGCAGCTTTTCTGGAAGACATCTTCCGAAAAAACTTCTTCCGAAAGAGAGAATCCACACTACTAAAGCACATCGAAAAAGCAATCTGTTTTTTGAAAGATAGCATCCATTCAGTGTGGATGCTATCTCGCATTTAAGCCGTGATTACTATAGACAGAATGGCCACCAGGGCACCTGTGCTTTTTCCTCTTTCCTCTTCTTTCAAAAAAACTCCCTTTCCTGTCCACATACACCTTTTTCAGAAATAACTTTTCAGAAAAAGGCTTCTTCCTCGTAGAAAAGAAGAAAAATCCCTCCATTCTTTCAATTTTTTTCTAAAGAACACGATTGCAGTGTGGATGTGAGGTTTTTTTTTTTTTGGTTGGGTTTTTTTTTTTGGAAAAACAACTGTTTTTCCAAAAAAAACCTCTGTAGTATATACATAGCCTTTAATGCATTCATTTTAGCTGAGTGAACTGTGGGAAAACTTGTCTATCTTTGTGGGCGTGCAGAGGGAATTATGGGATATTTATCAGTGTGAGTGAAAGTATCGCTCTGGCTTTAGTGTATAGTGCCAAATGAACCAGCTATCTTGGGTGCAAAGCATAACCATATTTGGGACAGAGGAAGGGAGTGTGTGTGTGCACCAGCAAGAGACAGACACACAGGGGATGGGGCTAAATACAAGTAAGAGCCAACATTAACTCTCAGGGTGCATCCTGAGTCTCACCCTGTACTTTCTGTGCTTATCTGACCACCTCCTTTCTTTCCTTTGCCTACATCTGAGTTCATGTCCTATTTCTTACCACCTCCATATGTTCTCAGCCAGTGTTTTTGGAGTTTCTCATAAACTCTCAAAATATCCTGAAAACTAGCTCCGTGAAGTGCTCAGACTTTACTCACCACTTGCTTAATCTACTCTTGTTTTTAGACTCTTAAAGTCTCTGAGACAAGAACTTGCCATTTGTTCAGCATGCATCACATATGATACAATTTATGTATAGGGTTAAAGAACACAAACATACAAGCCTCTAGCCAGGAGCACAGAACTGTTAACCAGCAGTGATCATTGAACTCACAACCCCTTTCCATGGAACCCTACACAAGGCTATCTAAGAAATTGGCCTCCCAACTTTATTCCTGAATCCTTTCCAAGTCCAGTGCAGCAGTAGTTTGGAGCCAGCTAATAATTTTAAGTTGGATTTTTTTTTCTACTTACCTTTTTTGTAGTTTACATAGTATATATACATTTTTTGCTTTAGTCAAGAAACCATTCTGTGCTGAGGTTCCCTCAAGATGCATCTGAAATAAAAAAAGAAAAAAACAAAATGCTTAGCCCTTGGAGCCCCACTGAAGCTTAAGTCTCTCATATTATCAAACTTCCTTTGAGCCAGAATTTAATCACTGTGATGCTTTTCAAAGGATAAAAAATCAAGCAAGAATACTGATTACCTCCACAATTGCCCAATACTTCCAAGAGCTTGAAATGACTTTATGCAGAAATAGCACTGATGCTGGCACTATATGCAGTATTAGTATTAAAGATGCTCTGGAAATGTCATAGAACTTTTTTTCAATGTATCAATGTAGTTTGAAAGCTTGTGGCATCCATCAATAGAAGTTGGTTCAACTAAAGATGCCACCTGACCTATCTTGTCTCATTAATACAAGTTTTAGAGAAAAAATGCCTATGGGAATTGAAAACACATTTCTGGCTTTCTAATCAGATATTCCACCACTGATCTCAAAGTCAAATGTTTTACATAGTAAATATATTATAAATTTCCACTTCTGATAAAGTTGGAGAATAAAACTATGTTTATTAGTCTCAAAAAGAAAAATGGTTTTTGAGGTTTCTAAATTATCTTAAGAAAGTCATAATGGATTAACTGCCTGATCAAATTTACTAGAGGATTTTACAAAACTACCTTTAGCACTTTGCTCAGTCATTGTTTGTTGTTTATTGCACATTTATGTGGATAATTGATCTTTTCTAAAGGTCCCATTTCTCATTCTGACAGCATACAGTAAAGATAATTCTTACAGAAAATCCACCTTTTCGCCATCAGACCAACACTTTATACACCCCCATGACAACCTTGAAATATGCAGATCCAAATGGAGATCTCCCTATTGATACCTTCTACAAAATGGTTTTTCAGCATGATAAAATCTTCAGTGCAAGCCTTAACTTCATCAAACTGCTAAGATGGAGAAGCAGAAAAAGCTTTGATTTAGGAAATCCTTCACAATGAATCTGTGTGCTACTGTGTGCATCTGGATCACTGGTTTATAGTGCTGATATCACTAGTTCATAGTGTTGATATGCTATTTTGAGAAATAGCTTTGCAATATAATTGATTACAAAAATACATTCAAGATGTTTGGTTATTGAGCTTAACTCAGGTATCTATGCTGATTAACTTTTATTTTGAACTTCAAGTTTCGGATGCTTTGAAGTAAAATGTTTTTACCCATGTCAATTATTGTCAAAAGTATACGAACAATATTTCAGCTGTGTTCCTCATAGACATTTATGACTGCTATTTTTCTGAGCATCTGCAAATCAATTGTCAGACATCTCCCTTCAGCATTTATTAGAAATAAAAAGAAAAGATACTGAGATAAATACGATGTGTATATCTTATTTGTAGAAAAACCTCATGTTAGTATTGTAAAAAGTATTGAATTGCTTTGCTAATGTTCTAGTGATTCACTTAAATCACCTTGTTCTATAGTGCTGTGCCTAAAAGGATTAGAATAAACGACCTGTTAAAAGCCTAAAAAGTTGCAAGCATTTTTATAGATTTAAAATGTATTTAATATTTATGTTCGTATTTTAGGCATCAAAGTAACTGCTATGATATTGGTAAATGCCTTATGATTATTTCAGTGTTTTCTTAGGAACACAAGTCGATATACTCACAATTCTTCAAACCTGAGAGCCTAAAGCTAAGCTCCTAAATCCATATTTAGACATCTGGATAGAAGTGGACTGCTATTCAGTGGTGCTATGCACCTGCAGCTCCCACTGAAGTCCATGCAAATTAAATTCATTAAGTGCCTTTGAAAATCACAACACTATCTGAATGTCACAATGTGAATTTAAGACACTGGCCTTAGGCACCTGCATTTGACAATTTCATAGAAGTTGACTAGACATGTCTTTATGCTTTCAGGTTTGAAAATTAAGATGTTTTACATAGTTATATTTGAGGGTCTGGAGCATGAGTGTTTGTATGCAAGTATGTAGATGAACCAGTAGCTTCAATAAGGTCAGCAGTGTTTGTGGGAATAGGATTTACTAATTGTGCTATAGTATACAAGCTGGAGATCTATGTAGTGGGATTTGTAAATATCTTGGCAACACAGTACATAATTAGAATTTAAAGAATGTCATCAGACAATAATTTTATAGCAAAGTCAAATTTTAAACTGAATTCAATAGTAACCCTTTACATTTCACATTGCTTTACTGAAATGGGTATGAAAAATTGGTTTTCACATAACAGAAAGAATTAAGCATAACAATTTAAATTTACAAATTTAAGCTTGATGCTATTATAACCCTTTTGCTTTTTATAAGGTCCTTTTTTGAATAATATTAAAAACTGAACATAAGAATGGCCATACAGGGTCAGACCTAGCCCACTATCTTATCTCTGACAGCGACCAGTGACCTCATATGCTTCAGAGGGAATTAACAGAATGGAGCAATTATTGACTGATCCATCCTCTGTAGTCCTGTCACAGCTTCTGATAGTTGGAGGTTTAGGGTTGCATCCCTGACCCTCTTGGCTAATAGCCAGCAATGGACCTATCCTCCATGAACTTCTTTATTTAAGCCAGTTATGCTTTTGGTGTTCACAACATCATATGACAATGAGTTCCATAAGGCTGACTGTGCATTGTGTGAAGTAATGCTTCCTCTTTTGTTCGTTTTAAACCTACTACCTATTAATTTCATCAGGTGACACCTAGTTCTTGTGTTAGGTGAAAGGGTAAATAACACTTCCTTATTCACTTTCTTGCTACCATTTATGATTGTATAAGGCTCTATCAATCATATTCCCCCCTTTGTCATCTCTTTTCTTAGCTGAGCAGTGCCAGTCCCTTTCATGGAAGCTGTTCCACACCCCTAATCCTTCTCATTGCCCTTCTTGACACTTTTTATAATTTTAGTATCTTTTTTTTTTTTTTAGATGAAGCAATCAGAACTGCATGCAATACCTTGGATTTATATAGGGGCATTAAGATATTTCCTTTTTTTAATCTACCCCTTTCCTAATGGCTTTTAACATTGTTAGCTTTATTGACTGATACTGTCCAACGAACAGAAGTTTTCAGGGAACTATCCATAATGACCCCAAGTTTGAGTTTTAGAGTGGTTACATCTAGTTTAAATCTCATCATTTTGTACTATAGTTGGGAATATTTTTCCAACATACTTTATTTTGAGTTTATCAACACTGAATTTCATCTTTTGTTATCCATAGCCCCTTACTGAGATCCTTTTGTAATTCTTTTTAACTATGCTAAGTAACTTTGTATCTTCTGCAAATTTTACATCCTTACTAGTCACCCTTCTATTTCAAATCATTTAAGAATTTTTTAACACAGTCCCAGCACATATCCTAGCAGGACCCTGCTATTTAAATTTTTTCACAGTGGAGAGAGGTATTCCTACTCTTTGTTTCCTAGCTTATTTAACAGTAGCATTTATGAGAGGACCTTCTGTCTTAGCCCATGATTGGTTAATTTGCTTTAGAGTCTTTAGTGAAGGACCTTGGACTTTCAGAAAGTTTTTGGCAGGTATGCTATATCCATATGCTTTCCCTCTCTCAAAAAATTTCTAATAGGTTGGTGAAGCACAATTTCCCTTAAAAAAGCCTTACTGACTCTTCCCCAGCTATGTCTGATAAATGATATAGTTCCAACTAATTTGCCTAGTTGGGAAGTAGGCTTATTTCCTAGAAACAGGCATCATGCTAGCTACCCTATATTCATATGGTATACAAGCTAATTTAAAGTCTCAGAGGGTTAGCTGTTTTAGTCTGTAACGACAAAAAAATTAGACAAATTCTGTTTTAGCATCTTAGAGACTAACCAAAAAATATAGATAGTATCATGAGCTTTCAAAGAAGTGGGTTGTGCCCACAACAGCTCATGATACTATCTATATTTTTTGTTAGTCTCTAAGGGTGTCTACACTACAGCATTATTTCGAATTATCTTAATTCAAAATAGTTAATTCGAATTAAGCTAATTCGAATTAACGCATCTACACACAAAATCTATTTTGAAATAGCATTTTGCTATTTCGAAATAGCACGTCCACAGTGAGTGGACCGTGAACCGAAGTTAAGGCTAGCTGGAACCAGTGCCGGCAGGGCATCAGGTTAGGACTTAGTGCATGGGGCTGCTGCCTGAGGCTAACTAAGCTCTGAACTTAAAGGGACCCTACCCCAGACAGACAATTCTCAGAGTTCCCCGCTTGCTTGTCTACCTCGATGAGGGACAGCAAAGCAGACCTGTCTTGGCGTACGTCTAGACTACAGGCTTTTGTCGACAGAAGTTTTGTCGACAGATACTGTCGACAAAACTTCTGTCGACAAAGAGCATCTACACTACATTCAGTTCTGTCGACAAAGCAAGCTGCTTTGTCAACATGGTAGTGTGGACGCAAAGGACAGTTTACATGCAGTAACACCTTCTGTCGACAGAAACTCTATCGACAAAAGGCATTATGCTTCGTAAAATGAGGTTTACCAGTCGACAAAACTTCGACGTTATGTCGACAGAACTCAGCGATAGTGTAGATGCAGGTATAGTTTTGTCGACAAAAGTCCACTTCTGTCGATGAAAGCCTGTAGTCTAGACGTACCCCAATTGGAGTGCCCTGAGTGCCCATACTCAGGACATCACAGCACTTGGCCACATGGAGCCAGAGCTGCCCCTGGGTATGCTGGTGCATCTCGTGGGGTTGTTGCCATCAGCCCGGCTGCACTTGCTGCATGCTGTTAGGATCCAGGAGGCCCTGCGGGAGAACGTCCACCTCAAGGAGCCTTCAGAGCCACCCTGGTCCTCCCCACCGGGGGCTCATGTCCCGTTCCTCCCTCATATCCTTCCACTTACCCCTCCCTACCCTCCCTTCCTGATGTAAAATAAAACACATATGTTCAAAAATAGAAACTGGGTTTACTGAACAAAACGAGGGGTGGGGGAGATGAACCTCTGGGGAGACCGGGAAAAGGTGGGAGAGGGGAAGAAAGGGGAGGGGGAAACATGGGAGGAAAGAGCTGTAAGGGGGAAGGAAGGGGAAGAAGGGGGAGAGGAAGCTCAGGGCCCAGGGTTGGGGGTCTCGCTGCACCAACTTGAGTTTCATACAAACCTGCTCCTGGGTTGACATGTGGCCAGGCTGGCAGCTATCCTACCATAGACAGCCTCATTCCTCCATTTAGTGTGGAGATCATGGGTTGGGGGCATCCTCCTCACCTCCCCAAACCTGAATAAGGTCCATGATCTCCACTCTGGACCAGGAAGGGGCCCGCCTCCTCCAGCCCTTCAGGCTCCTGGGAGCTGGCGGACTGCTCTTGGGGAGTGGTGGAGGGCTGGCTGCCAGTGGCTTGCTAGCTCATGTTTTGGGGCCACTGCTGGCTCTAGGTTGGCAGGCTTGAAGCTGGCACAGGCACTGTGGCCAGAGTCTACCCCAGGGTCTACCCCTTTAATGGCTCCGGGGTTGGGGGGAGAGGAGAGTAAGTTTTCCTGGTTGTGCCCAGAGTGGCCATCAGGGCTCCCTGGAAAAGGCTGGAAGTCCTCTATTTCGAATTAAGTGTCTACACAGCACTTAATTCGAAATAGCTATTTTGAATTTGGCATTACTCCTTGTAGAATGAGGTTTACCAAATTCGAATTAAGCGCTCCGCTATTTCGAAATAATTTCAAAATAGCGGTTTGCATGTAAACGGCTGTTATTTCGAATTAATTTTGCAGTGTAGACATACCCTAAGGTGCTACTGGATCATTTGTTGTTTAAGCTAATTTAAGTGATAGTTTGCAAACCACAATTAGTAGTTCTATAATGTCATGTATGAGTTCTTTTGGAATTCTTGAGTGAATACTATTTGGTCTTAATACCTTGTTACTGTTTAATGAATTTCAATATGAAACCATTTTTCTGATTTGTCTTCCAAAGAATGGCTTGGATGTCTGACTGCCCTATATCCTCTGTAGTGAAGACTGATGCAAAGAATTCATTTAGCTTTTCTGCAAAAACCTTATTTTGAGTGCTCCATTAGCAACTCAGTTATCCAGTGGTGTCACTGCTTGGCAGGCTTCCTTCTTCTGATGTACTTACAAGAAACACTGTGTTAGTTTTTGTGTGTTTAACTAACTGCTCTTCAGATTCTTTCTTGGCTTGCTCAATTATAGTTTTACACTTGACTTACCAGAGTTCCTATTTTCCTCAATGGGATTGGACTTTTAATTTTTAAAGGTTGTCTTTGGAATCTCTTTTCCTCTGCTCTTTGACTGTGGTTGAATTTTTTTTGGTCTGGGATATGCATTTAATCTGAGCCACTATTATGGTGTTTTTAATAGCTTCCATACAGTGCAGGCATTTTGCCCTTGTGACTGTTCCTTTTTATTTCCATTTAACTGTTTCCTCATTTTTGTGTAGTTCCCCTTTTTGAAGTTAAATGCTACGGTGGTGAGCTCCTTTAGCATTTTTCCCCCTACAACCATGTTAATTTAATTACATTAATGCTATTATCTAGGGATTCCGTTATAGTCACCTCTTGATCCAGCCCCTGTATTTCAATTAAAACAAAATCAAGAATTCCTTCTCCCCTTGTCAGTTCCAGGAAAAGCTGCTCTGAGTTGTTCAAATAGTCTATGCTAAATATTGTTGTACTGATGTCCACACAATTACTTCTAACACTTGGCAAGGATATAGGGGGAAATTATATCATGTATGTTCACTCTAGGAAGGCTTTTTTTTTTTTTTTAAATTATGGTGTTTACCTAACTTATGTTTAGCATCAGATCTGCAGTTAAAGACTTGTCATCTAGGAAGTTATTCCACAATAGCCTGTCCTAACTAACTGTTTCTAAGCAATACATCAGACATTATAGGATGGAAAAACTCCCTCCTGTGTGCTGACACAGCAGACCTAAACTAAAGAATAGCTAATGGTATCACATTGGGATTAAAAGCAGAACTCCAATCAAACCACCAATATAAATTTACACTGTAGCAGATGATCCAAACTTAAATGTGCTGCTTACAATTTCCCTGGGTGTTGCTTCAAACTACAGCCTTTGAAACTACTAATCTAGACATTAAAAAGACTGTTATTCTGAAGAGGATTTAATTTATTTTGAAAGACATTTTCATAAGTCAGGAAAAATAACAGCCAAATTAAACTGTTAATGATAAAGTACCAGCAACAGCAAACTCTGCTTGAGAGTATCGACCACCTACACTTGGCTCACAGTCTGATCTCAACACTGAAGTGCAATGAAAAATGATCAGACCGTTTCCTCCATGGGGATGACCCTGCCGCTAGTGAAGCAGGGGACCCCGAATTGGGGCACTTTTAATAAGTAAAGATGCGCCTATGTAGCCCCCACACCACCTGGATCCGCTTCCTTGTCCAACCTAGCGACACTTAGAGCACGTACAGATAAAATAATTAATTCCCCCACAGCCTGGGCTGATCGCCACCTGGCTTTCAGCCCAGGCTGCAGACCCGCCACGCTGCAGCCACAGCGGGTGAAGGCGGGCTGGGTGAGCACGTGCGCGCTCGCGTGGAAGGGGTAACTGGGACGGTACAATCCCACTGCAGACAAGGCGGCGGGACCGCCTGCTCCCCCAGGGCCTTCCTCGCGGCCCGGGCCCCGCACCGACACCCCGCGTCAGCCGGAGTAACGCGGCTACGTGCGCGGCCCAGGGCAGGCTCCGCGACGGGGGCCGCGCGCTCAGCAGCGCCACGAGGCTACTGCACAGGCGGAACTGGGGCCGCCCCCTTCGGATTCCGAAGCCCGTCGGGGCAGGTGGCGCGCGGAGCGAAGAGGGTCCTCAGCGTGGCGACCTGTTTCCGCTACCCGGGGCATGGGGTCCCGGAAGCGGAAGTGTCAGAGAACGGTTTCCGGCGGAAGCGGCCCTGCTCGTTGGTTTT